ATGCATGAAGTGTAGACAAGCCAAATGACTCCATTAATATCATGCAAAGATGGGCGTAATTCGTGAATTTGTTGATCAATGAGTTCTTTTAATTTCAAAGTTTCTTCCGTAGTTTCTTTCCTAAAATAAAAAGCGATAGGTATGCAATAACGAGTAGAAGATGGACGTGGATTCTGCCATAAAATTATTTTTTCTTTTGAATTTGGGTCACCTGATATTAATTGTAATAGTACACAAGAAGCTAAAAACATATTCGCGTCAGAAGGATCATGATTATCAAATTCCGTTTCAAATTTCTGTTTATATTTACTTTGACCAGAACTACCATCACAACCCCATTTGAAAATTAGATTTAAATTTTCTAATTTTTTATCTGAAACAGTTTGTAAAATCGAATTTTTACTTTACATTAATCGCTGAGCAGTTTTGTCCAACAAACTTTGTAATTGTACTTCTACACTTGAGTCAGTTATTTTGACTGTTTCAGAATCTGGATAGCATTGCTTTTTTGCTTTTAAAACCTCGTCATACGATGGAAATATATTGATATTTTTAGACTTTACTTTTCTTCTCATGATTAGGTATTGTTCTTTTGATAATTTTGCATCAGTAATAATTGAAAGAGCTTCTTCTGGAGTTAGTTTCACTTTTGATTCCTTTTGGGTTTCGTGTATTTTTGGGTTGCAAACGGATTCATTTGAATTTTCTTTGATAATTCTACTGGCGACTTCATTTCCTCTTTACCTCAAAGTTACTTGAGCAGCAAGCAAAATCTGATTATCATCAATAAAAGAACGTAATTCTTCAACTTTTCCGTATTTAGTGCGAGTACTTGATTCACTAAAACTTAGTTTTGGACGACCTTTAGCTTGTGGTAATCCTTTTGACACTCTTACTGGAAGCATTGGATGAAAAAAATGAATTTCACGATCTAACCATTCAGAATTATTTTGTAAAAATCTTTCTATCGTTCTACTCGATTTTTGCCACCTTTTATAATAATCCGAAATGAAACGCGAAAAATTCCTCTGATTTTCTGCGTATTCATTGAATTCTTTGTCGCTTCCGCAAAATTCCAGTGAATCTTTTATGTAAGTAATTAGAAATTGACGCTGAACGTTAAAATCATGAGAGGGTGACGTGGCTCGAACTCAAAGCTCGGCTTTGCCTCGCATTGAGTTCTTGCCACGCCGTTACACTTGTAATGAGCAAAACGCTCGTTTGGCCCCTTGTATCGAAATATACTATTTTCTCGTAAATGGGCAGATCGGGGCAGCTAAATCAAAAATTAATTTAATGTTAAAAATTTCAAGATTATGTACATATTTAATTTTTTGCCGGGACATACCGGGACTTTTTGTAGATATTGTACTACGTCTGCGCAGTTTAGCAAGAGAAGGAGAGGGATACAAGAATCAGACCTCTCTCTCGGTTCGCGACCATCAATGTCACATATCATTCCAAATATGATGCAAAATTCCTGAAATGTCCGAACAAAAAATTAAAAGTTCTCGAATTTAATCCATACTTTTCTAAAATGTTGTTATTGTTGGTGAAAGTCTAAAAATCAATTATTATTGAATTTAATAAAATAGTTTTTGAATTACAACGTTTTTAATTTTTGACTTTTGAAAAAAAAAATTTTTTTCAATGTACAATATTTATAATACAATGCATAAAAGTTAACATATATATAATGATTTTTAAAGCTTTTTTGACGAGCTACACACTGTTAATGAAATTTTTTTTTTAAATAACATTTGACCTTGAAATTCAAGGTCAAAATGTTAATTTACGTTTATCTCAAAATCAGATTTTTTAAAATTATTTTTAACTATCTCAATGGAAAGCTTGACTAATTTCCTACAAAACATGTAATTTTCAGAGTGGGATCTTTTAAAGTTTTTGAGATATTAATTAATTAATTAATTAATTAATGTTTATAACAAATGAAATATTTTACAAACGAATAAAGTTACACACTAACCCCGTAAACTACCTAGCTACTGTAGGTCATTGAATTCGCAACAAATAAATAACTCGATTTAATTAATCCGACACGTTCAACTTTCGCAACGATTGCGCTAATGAACTATAACTATTTTCTGAACGCGTATCTTTGATTTTTTCTTTTTCCACGAATAATTGTCTTTTTACCGCATCGAATTTTTCTAGACTAATATTTCTTCTCGATAAGATTTGTTCTGGAATTTTACTCTGTTTTTCGGATTTACTTTCGTGCTCGTATTTCGAAAAATTAAACATTTAGATTTTTTTTTTTAATTCAACAACAAAAATTTAAATTCGCGTTTTGTACTTTTCGTACTTTAATCCTCTCACTTGCCCAAGTGGCTACACACTTCCGGCAAGGTTAAGTCGAGGAATTTTTCCCGAATTTTTGGAGAAACCAGAGCTTGCCGAATGCAAGGGTAGTTACTGTGTCTCGGTTCGACGTTAGCGAACCAAACAAAAATAAACAAAATTTCTACTCGCGCACTTGACAAAAATCCCAAAAAAAATATTTTTTTTTCTCTGAAAATTAAAACATCACAACATAGACACAATAAATAAATTTTTCATTTCAATAATTGTTCATAGTGTATAAATTCAATTTCATAATTTTTTTATCATTTAAATTCTCAGTGTTTAATGTGTATTTGTAATTGTGTTTTTAAAACATGTACATTTTTAGAAGGAGAATTTATTTTTTCACTCTTTACTGATCTCTCATTTTTCTCTTTTTCAAACCATTTTCTCAAAAATATGAGCGACAAATCCCACCGCTGCCACCATTTTGTTAAAGACGGATGTTGATTAACAAAAATATAAATAAAGTAAAATAAATTTTGAAGAAAAATAATAAGTTAGAAACTACACTAATTTTTATTATTAACAACCCGCTTATTCGGTAAGCGTAATTGCTCTTCGCTACACAAGATAGAAAAAGGGTAGTGGACTGTTGCCTAGAGTGTTATCTATTCAACACCCCCGGGTAGACGGTATTTCGTTGAAAATATTCACAAAGAAAGAAATGAGATAACACAAATAAAGGTGATGAAAATAAATTGAGAATTGAATTGACATAAAATAAGGTAACTTTTATTCATACAACCCCCAATGTGTGTACATTCGATTCCCCAATTAAAATCTTTAATATAAAATGATTACAATTAGAAACTTTACTACTTTAAGCTACTTGAATTTTTAAATTCAAGTCTCACAAACAGATATTATTTATCATAAATGCAACAAATAAAAATAACCCAAAAACAAAATAAAGATTTTATCAACAAGAGAAAGAATTTGTGTACTTAGAGTAAGTATGATAGTGTGTGTTATAAAATTTGGCAATTTCACGTAGTGCTTATAAACTCAGAAACACTCACCTCAATAAATACAATTAAAATAATACCGAAAAGTATCACATTACTTTTCTAACTCTTCGAGGATTTTGAACTCTCTGCTGTCATACGACTCTATAGAATATAGAAGTCGATCTTTTACTTTCCTATGTTTTATATCTTGCTTTTAATAAACTGGAATTATTTACTGTACTTAAACAATTATTTCAATACTTCAATCCTCGTTTATTATAAATTCAGAAATTTGGGTTCACCAAATCTGAATGAACTAAACGATAAGGTTAAAATATAAACAATTGTGTAGATAACAAACGATATAATTTGTGAATTAGGAACTCAGCACTTTTTATATCAATACCACTTTATGCTTGTTAAGGGGTTAAACCACTCTAGAATTTTCAAAAAATCAAAAAAATTTTTTTTGCTTTAAAAGGTGCCTAAGGGTGTATAGAATAAGAAACAATATCAATTATAAGTCGAAACACTTTTTAATTTGGAAGGTCAATTATACGGCGCAGGCATTGCAGATTGAAGGTATATCCAAAAAGTCGTAAGTAAAACTTTAAACTCGTTTTTCTCAAAACTACATTTTTTGTGCTGGCCGGAAACATAACTTTTACAAATCTCAACCGATTTACTTAAAAATTAAACTGTAGCTTCTCAATAACATTATCTAGAGAAAGACGTACGGATTTTTTTTTACGTTGCATATTTTTTTTGTTATAAACAATTTAGTGTCAATTTTTTAAGTAAAAAACTCGGTTTTTCCTTAAAATGTTCGCCATTTTTGCAAAAATCAATTGAAAAAAAATCCCCTACGTCTTTCTCTAGCTTTTAAGATGTAAAAATAGAAAGAAATTTGTTTTTTGTTCTAGGATGAAAATTGGAGCTAAAACCTTTCCGGCCGCGACGTGATTCCTCTCAGAAAGGGTTCCTATCACGTACCTGTAAATTTGATATTTAAAAAAAAATAATTAATGAAGTATATTTTTTTTCTCTTTAAAGTGTACCTAATAAAGATATGTAAACATATTTTTCAGTACATTTAAACTTTTCTTGAAAAAAATTTCTAAAGTTAGGCCTTTTTTTGACGCTCTAGAGTGGTTTAACCCCTTAAAATAATACTTCTTTTTCAATGAACTTTTTTATAACTTATACGACGTCACAAATTGTGGAAAATGCACTTTTAATTTCGGATAATTAGACAGGCTCGACCCTTTCTGAGGGGAGTAAATTAATAAATCAACCACCTTTGGTGGGAACAAAACTTAATAAAATTCTTCCGCCTTCTTGCGGGTAATACGTCCGCCTTGCGGGAAATATAAAATAAAGGCGCTTGTATACCTCACCGATCCCGAGTATGTTTCCGTCGTGTAACAGTTTCCTAAGTTGGAAATGAGTTTTCTATCTTGGAAAGCAAGTTAGAAAATTGATTCTATGGTGGGATGATTTGAATAATTGTGAATTAATCTGCGATTAGCAAAAGATAAAAACTTGTGAAACATTAATAAATAAGTTATATTGTAAAAAATGCAGTTAATTATGTTTGTGTAAAAATTTTTTTAATAAGAAGCGAATATATTTCCAGAAATGTGTTGAAAATATTTTTCTATTATGATCAAGCAGATGTTTGTAGAAAAGATAATGCTTCGCATGCGCGATGAGCCGGTTGCAATATTATGACAACAAACTCGATTAGAGACCGCGCGGTATAAAGTGATTTTGTTTAATAAAAATCATTGTTAAGCAATTAAAATTTTGATCATCTCATCGAATTTATTAATTTTAAGAAATGGAGGACTCAGAATTGCAGGTAATATATTTTTCTGATTAAAGATTTATTAACTGATATTCACAATTTTCGAATTGAAAGGTTCAATTTTTTTAAGGTTATAATCGGTTAAATTTCATAATAAATTATTTTTTAATCCATAATTCATTAACAATCACTCAAATAATCGTAAAAAAGTATTCGTGAAGATCTTTATAATCTTTGTAAATTTTTAGGTCTTTTTTATTTTATTTACTTAATTAAGTACGCTTAAAATTCAAATATTCAATATTTGTTTTAGCTATTTTTATAAAATTACATTCCACAATGTAACCAGTAACTTATTAACTAAAAACAATACTACAAGTCTTTCAGATATTTTGTTTAAAGAAATTATTAAGAATACCTCCACAGCAGGTAAACTTTTCTGAAAATTTATTAAATATTTATCTGCAATATTTGAAGTATTTAATTGCAAAGTTTAGTGAAAATTGTATATAAAGATTTAAATGTTCACGCTAAACTTTTATTTAATCGGGACATATTTGAATTTTTACATAATTTTCAATAAGCTTTGCAATTAAATGCTCCGAATATTGCTGGTAAATATTTAATAAATTATCATAAAACTTTCGGTGTTGTGAGGGTATAATAATAATTAAGAATTTTTTTATAAGAAAATATACATTTCTTGTTTTGAAATTTACTGCAATTGCCCAATGACAAAACTTTTCGAAAAGATTATTTGTTATTTATGTTATGAGGTACGTAATTTTTAATTAAATAAAATAATAATAGACCCTTTCCTTCTTATCATTCTGTCCTCATTCAATTCATGCGTCATTGCATGCATTACAAGAGGACAGAACGATTAAGATAAAAATTCTATGCCGCTTGTTAAAATAAGTTAATAATAGTTACTTTATTGTTTTTATTAAAGAACTAGAAAGCTCCTTAAATTTACACAAAAAATGTTTCACAGAGTAATATATTACTGTCAGTATGCGTTATATGTGATATCCAAATTCCTACTTTGGAAGCAAAAGATCACCCTTGTTTTGTTGGGTATAATATTGACGAATTGTACTCATTTGCTGATTATGTGGGCCCCAGCGAAGATATTGATTTGTTGATAGAAGATATGCGCCCCGAATATCTAGAGAAAGATGTGAGTAAAGCGTTATAATTAATAATAATGACAAATAATAATATAATGAATATAATAAACTAAAGTAATTTTATCACTAGGCTAAATGATCTTTATAAGAGAAAATATTTTTTAATACTAATCCTGATTTCCTATATTTTTTTCAGCGCGAAATGACTGAACCTTCTTTTAAGAAACGCAAATTAAATAAAGAACCTGCAAATGATAATAAAATGATTCAAAATGATGATGATGTGAGCATTGCTGTAAACGAAAACGTTGAACTTAGTATGTTTTTAATTTTGAAAATACATTTTATATTTTATTTATTATTTTTTTCTCTTACAACCCTAACAATTGTTAAGAATGTAAAATCACTTTTTTCCCTTCAAATAGATATATTAATATTACTTTTCAGATAAGAATGGAAATGCTAAAAAAAATACTGAAAATTATATGCTACTAATCGACTTGATTAAAGAATTTCCAATTCTCTGGAACCACAAAATTCCTATATTGGAAAGAAATCCGCTTGCAAAATCAAAGGCATGGAATCAAATTTTGCAAAATTTTCCAGGTGACATTTTTTTTCTTCTAATAAATAAATATAAATTATATGCAATATATTATTAGTATAATCCCATTTATTAGATTTCTACTTTATATTTTAAAGTTGTATTCTACAAAAATGCACAAGACAATGTTTGGTAATTTTTTTTCTTAAATTGTATTTTTGACACGAGTATTAATAAGCAGTTATTAACTTTTGAACTTAAAAATTTTAATTTTTTTAAAATATGGTTTTTTTTACATAAATTCTATATTTGTAGGTTGGAGTAAAGAGTTCATGATGAAAAAATTTAATTCGTTAAAAGAAGTATATACAAGGCGCAAAAGTCATGTACCTAGTGGTTCGGCCCAAAGGGCACAACGCTATTGGATATTTGATGATTCCTTTTCGTTTTTAAATGATGTTATTGCACCTGCAGCGTAAGGAAATTTTAAATTTTTTTGTCATATCTTAAACGCCATGAAATCAGGAAAAACGTCTTTATTTTTATTTATGAATCTTACAGTTTTAAATATAAAAAATTTATAGAAACTATATTTTTGTTTTTTGATTTTCTAATTTATGAAATTCAGAACCATCAGCAATGTTCCAGCTTCCAATGCACCCGAAGAAAATAATAATAATGATAAAGTTCTCAGTGAATTGGGATTTAATGTAAAAGGAAAAGGACCAGTTGCAGAAATGACAAAAAGTATGGTTACATTTTTTCCTATTTTCTAGAATAATGTAACACTTTTAAAACGGTCTCTGAAATATTTAAATATATTTTATAACTTTATATCTAGTAACATTTATTACTTTTTTTAATTCCTCAAAATTGTAAATGTTTGAAATATAGGCAAACTCTACAGTTTTTAAAAAATAAACTTAATTTAATTATGATTAATCAAATAAAGCATGGTTTGTAAAACACGTATTCTTTGAAACATTTCAAATAAGTTTTCGAAAATTTTTAAATTTTAATAATGATATTATATACATTAATAAAAATACAAATCTTCATTTCAAAAATTAATTTTGTAGGCACACGAAAGAAACAAACCCCTTTCGATGCAGATATAATGAAATGCATTGAAACATTATCTTCGCCGCCGCCTCAAGTGCAATTTACCAGCTGTGAACAATTTGGTATATTTATAGGGAAGGAACTTGAAAAATTGGATAACGATTACCAAAGAATGGATGCTCAAATAAAAATAATGAAGGTTTTGCAAGATGCAATATGCCGTTAAGAAAATGTGTTTAGTAATCATTAAGTTGTATTTAATCATTTTTGAATTTATATATAATGTTCGAAGTTTTAACGTTAATACTATTATTTTGAGATTTACGTAACAACCACTTGTGATTGATGTTACCTGTGTTACAAAGAAAATGACTGATTAGATATATATATATTTATAACATTTGTCTAACGATTAGAATATTTAATGTATCAATTAAGGTGATTATTTTTGTATCAAAGTTAACTAATTTTTAGGCAACAAATTTTACTTCAAGCTGATGTTAAAAACACAGTAAAAAGTTGTCTATATTGGTGTTATAAAAGTGTTCATTTAATTTTTAATTAAATGTGATATGAGAACGATTAAAAATGTAAAAATTAAGATACTGCATGAAAAAATTGTGATCTCGAATTAGTTTATATAAAACACACTGATGAAGAAAATTTTGTGCAACATTTATTTATTTATTTCTTTTACATACTAACTCAACTATCATCTTCAAAAATAGCTCTATCCTGCCATGGAACTTTTCCTGCCCCCATAAAAAAATCTTTAAAATGATTTCTAATTGCTCTAGCTTGATTCTTTCTTGCTGTCACTGACAGAGGTATTTCCGAAGGCTGTAAAGCACTGTCATCAATATTTACATTTTGATCGGCAGCGTTGGCAGAGCAATAATTTTTCAAATCACGAGGCAATTTTTTTTCTTCTTTTAGAATAAAATTATGTAAGCATACGGTGGCTAGGACAATTAATTTTACAACGGCTAAATTAGCCATGATCGGGGTTCGAAAAATTCTCCACATTGCAACTAAAATGCCAAAAGCATTTTCAATGGTTCTGCGGGCTCTGCTCAATCGATAATTGTAAATGTTTTTATCTTTAGAAAGATTCCCACTATTCGCTCCTTTAAAAGGCGTTAAACAATGTCGACTATTTTCAAATGCTGCATCACCAATGAACACCATTGGCATTTTTGGTCCTTCAGGGTAGAGAGACATTGGAGCCGGAAGATTCAAAGTATCTTCCTCTAGAGCATGAAAAAATTGGCAGTTTTTTAAGATCCCGCCATCACTTTGTCTCCCCTTGCCACCTACATCTACCATAGTAAAATTATAATTCGCATCTGTCATTGCAAGAAGAACAATGCTATGAAAATTCTTGTAATTAAAATAGTCCGAGCCTGTATCGGGTTGTGCCTAAAAATGTAAAAAATTGTTTATTTAAAATATTTTTTAACTCTTTTACAATCATATTCATTTAAAAATTAATATACTTTTAAGATTTACGAAAGTTTAAAAAATAATACATTAATATATCATACATTATTATTTTTAATTTTTATTAATTATAAAATTTAAGGAATTATAAATAGAAAGCCGTTTTGGAAAAATAGAAGCAAAAAGTTCACGTCTTTTGAAGCTTATAAACTTAATTGAATTAAGATTTTCATACCCTGCTAAAAATAAAATCAGAAATAGTGACAAAACGTCAGAATCTGTGACATTTTGTGACTTCTCTGACGTTTCCTGAGACCCAAAACTGACGCGTGCCTAATGTTACTGATCCTATTCATTTTAATCACCAAAATCATCCCCAATAAATTATTTTTTGCCAAAAATTTTAAAAAAACGCACTATGTGTAGGTGTGTAAATGTAAAGTACCGTTGCATTTTCAAATTTGTATGCATCCCTTTTCTACACAATAGAATCGCAGGTCTATTGTTCAGAGCTTCGGGTTTTTAACCTGAATTTTATTACTCTGAAGTTTTGCAATTTTAACTTTTAAAATGAAATGAATAAAAATTCAGAATCCACACTTCTTTACGATTACAAATATATACAATATATCATATAAAACATTTTTTCAACGAAACTGTAACGTATCTCGAAAACCGTAATTACTGGATAAAAACTGATATCATTTTTGAATTTATGTTCTAAGAGATATATTGAAACATATTAAGAATAAATGTTAATCATTTGACTTCATGAAAAACAAATATGTTTAAATAAATATAAACCCTTAAAAAGTTAAAAAATTTATCCTTCAACTTAATGACGGTCAGAGGCCTTGAACGAGACCTTTTTCCAGGTAAAGGGTCCGTACCTATACCTTGCATAAAAAACCTCACTACTTTTGGCGTTTCCTGACTAAACTGACCTGATCTGACTATCTGTGACTGCAAATGTAACAAAAGTAGTTCAAAAACGTCAGGGATTCTGACTATTTTCCTGACGTTTCCTGACTTTATTTTTAGCAGAGTATTATGAAAAGACAACATACGAGTGCAACAAAATTTATACGCAAGAAAAGCATTATTGTCCTTTAATTTTATAAATTTAAATAAATTCCGCAACTTAATTTTTGGTTACCTGCATTAGGACGTGCTTTCCATCAATGGAACCAAAGCAGTTTGGAAACTGCCACTTTTCATTAAAGTCGTTTATTAGCACATTCCAAGCCTCCACAGTGTCCGGAAATGCAAGTACTTCAGTCTGTAATGTTCTCCACAAAATTAATAATGTTTCTGGAATAAATACTTGAATTGTTTTGATTCCCATTCGAAATTGTCGTGATAATGAAGTATAAGACTCTCCTGTTGCAAGATACCTAAAAAAATTTGAAAGTTACTACAGACATAACGTACATTATATATTGATCTAGGGGGGCTTCGCCTCCCTGCGCGCTTCGCGCGTGAACTCCCCTATTTTGAATTAAAAAATTTTAAAACTTAATGTTAGTATAAATTCTATTGCATCAATACATCAACAGTTAATTTAAAATGACAAAAATATTCATTCCTTGACTTTGAGATTTGAGAGTATAGAGTCAAAAATTCGAAGGTCAAAAAATACTTAAAATTTGACCTATATTCTGAAGGTAGAAAGAGTTTCCGGGGGTTTCCAATCCCCCTTGGAATCGTAGGTTAAATATGACCTGAATGTTGACCTTAATTTTGAGGGTAGTGAAGATGAGAGAAAGTTTTCTCTTCTAATACCTAGGTCAGAAATAAATTTAAATTTGACTATTCGGGAAATTGTCTTTCCGGAAGACAATTTCGGGAAAATGTACAGCCTAGCCGTCATCCCCCATCCTAGAGGTCAAAAAATCTTGAAACAGCGGCGACAGCGTCGGCGAAGATATCTTTTTGTAATATAAGAAGATATTTAAGAATTATGAAACCTTTAAATTAAATGAGGAAACTACAAATAACATTAAAAAATTCATTACCATGTTTCATAAATATTCTTATTATTTTAAAAATCTGTAAAGGAAGATTGTAAACAATAATTTTTTATAAAAAGCATTATTATGTATCTACTATTTATTCAATTATCATTTTTACAAAGTTTCAAAAAAATAAAAGTAATATTATTTTCTAAATGTATGAAATTATTTAAAAATTAAATATTTACCTTAAAGTTACGATTAACTTTTCGGATGGTGAGATTATGTCTTCTCTCGTGGGATAGCTTTGTAGACTTTCTCCTACTTTTATTAAAAGTTTCTCAAATGTAGAGACAGACATGCGAAGATAATTCTTAAACATTACTGGATCATGCATCACCATTTCTTTAACTAATGAATTATGTGCACCTAAATTATTAAAACAAAATTTATAAATTATTACATTTATAAATTAAAAAATAATGTTAATTTTCTTTTGCTCTTCAATAAGCATACCAAATATTGAACGTTGGAGCCAAAGAGGATGTACTCTGTACTTTCGACTTCTTCGATTTTTATTTTCATGTATCATTTTATTTAATAATAAGAGGGCAAGTTTCTTCTTAGTAATCTGTAAATAAATATTATGAAATATTAAAATTATTATAATTTTTATTAAATTCATATTACATTAATATTAATTTAGTGCACATTATTTTCAAAACAAATAAACTATATGCAACTTAATCTCATAAAAGAAATAAATTTCATTAATGAATCAATGATTAAACTAATATAATTTAGATATATTTCTTTTATTGAATGTGATTTAAAATTTTAATTATTATTTTATGTCTAGTATTATTATTTTTATAACACATGTAAAAAATTTTGATTTTAGGCGGACTTAATTTAAGTAAATAAAATAAAAAAGACCTAAAAATTTACAAAGATTATAAAGATCTTCACGAATACTTTTTTACGAATATTTGAGTGATTGTTAATGAATTATGGATTAAAAAATAATTTATTATGAAATTTAACCGATTATAACCTTAAAAAAATTGAACCTTTCAATTCGAAAATTGTGAATATCAGTTAATAAATCTTTAATCAGAAAAATATATTACCTGCAATTCTGAGTCCTCCATTTCTTAAAATTAATAAATTCGATGAGATGATCAAAATTTTAATTGCTTAACAATGATTTTTATTAAACAAAATCACCTTATACCGCGCGGTCTCTAATCGAGTTTGTTGTCATAATATTGCAACCGGCTCATCGCGCATGCGAAGCATTATCTTTTCTACAAACATCTGCTTGATCATAATAGAAAAATATTTTCAACACATTTCTGGAAATATATTCGCTTCTTATTAAAAAAATTTTTACACAAACATAATTAACTGCATTTTTTACAATATAACTTATTTATTAATGTTTCACAAGTTTTTATCTTTTGCTAATCGCAGATTAATTCACAATTATTCAAATCATCCCACCATAGAATCAATTTTCTAACTTGCTTTCCAAGATAGAAAACTCATTTCCAACTTAGGAAACTGTTACACGACGGAAACATACTCGGGATCGGTGAGGTATACAAGCGCCTTTAGACTCCTTGAATAATAATTTTGTGGCAACGCTCACGCCCTGTTGGTATGCGATTTTTAGGAGGTGGGAGGGTTGATTTTGCAATCAACACCTCGTTGTCTCCATGCAAGTTTTGGCAAACTTGCATTTTTCTAGTGGCGTGATCGGTTCAACCACCTAATGTACTTTTATACTTTGTATGTTTCCTCATTTTCCAAAATAATGTGGCAACTCTTTATAGTGTAAGTCCCACAACTTGTGCAATCGATTAGTAATTTAGTTCAAAATTACTTCGCAATATGAGGTTCAATAATCTGAATTCATTTGCGAAATAATTTTGATTTGGAAATTAAATAAAATAATAAAAAGATGAAATTATGAATATTAATGGAATTATTTAGAAGTATTATTTAAATATTCTAGTTCCCGAAGATTAATAGGTGAATGTGTTTGTGTTGTTCATGTTGTAGGTGTATAAGTATTATAATATAATAACAATATAATATAAAAATATAAACATAAATATTATTTCTAATGAATAATATTTAACAAAAAAAATTAAAAAATTACGAAAATCCGTCCGTAACAAACATATTAACATATTATGGCCATAGTTATTAAAAATTATTATTAAATTTTAAGAACGGTTTCACGCAGCTTAGCAGTAAACCTATCTAAGCTAACTCCAAAAAAGTCCAATACATTACTATAAAAATTTCCCTCACTGCATATTCTATTTATAATAGAATTCTTGCCGTAGTTCGTTCTGTGAAAAACAACGTGAAATGTGGGAAAATTTCTTAGATATCGTGATGGAGCGCAAAGTTTTATCGACGATAATAACAAAGGGCAGTTCATGCGACCGCTAAGAATCTTAAACAAAAAAAGCAAATCATTGTAACAAAATCTAGATTTAATTTTTGGAATCATTAAACGAGAACGTAATTCATCGTAATTGTGGGAAAATAAGTCAAAACTTATACCAAGTTGTCTAGCCACAAATCGTAAAAAACGATTTTGGACTCTCTCTAGTCTAAGGATGTGAATGGTGTAGTAGGGGAACCAGATAACCGAGGCAAACTCTAGAATTGATTTTACGTATGAATAATATAAAATTTTAAGAGAGTTTAGACTTTTGAAATCAGACACGTTACGCATTATAAACCCCAGAGAACGAAGTGCCCTATTAACTATTACTATTTACTATTTATTTATTATTAAGTTATTAAAAAAAAATTTATTTGTTTTATGTCATTAGTGCTCTCGAAGAGGACGTTTTGAGAAGGATTTGAGCAGATTTAAAATTTTATCAAATGGTAATTATATTTTCAATTTTAATATATATTTTATGCAAATTTTTATCTTGTTTTTTTTTAGGTTTTTCTATTCGGACTTGGGGTTTTCATCTGGACCAGGAATTACGCAATAAGCATCGAAATCCTTTAGAAAAATTGGATATATTCTTCTATAACAGTTCATTAATTTGTATCAATTTATTAATTTTCTTTAAATTTTAATTTTTAATTTGATTAATTTATGGTAAAAATTTTTCTGTGTATTTTTTTTAGTAAAAAATGAGTCAAATTGGTACGGAAGAAGAAGACGAACCGAACCGGAAGGCAGCGAGAACCAATGAGATAAGGAATCCCAGAAGAGGATATATATTGAAATGGTATTTCAATAGTCAAAAATTTTAATATAAAATAATTATAAATTATTTAAAAATTATAAATTAATAAATATTAAAAATAAAATTATACAAAGAAATGAAATTAAAACTAGATAAATTGAATTTCTGAAAATAATAGAAAGAGAGAGAAGATATCTATAGATAACACAATGAAAACATAAACAGGAAAAATAATAGAAAGTAGATATAAATACGAATTAAGAGAATTTTTAATTTAATTTAAATTTAAAGTTTTTTTTATAAATAAGAATTTTTATAGATTAGGGGAATAGTGTCAGGGTTGGACACAGTTTTGGTTTTTTGTTTATAAATATTTTGTTTAGATAAATTCAGTCAATTGTGGTATATGGGTGGAAAGATCTACAAAAGAGGAACACTTTTGCTGTGGACCGTAAATTCATTGGTCCAAAATTAAAAAAGTTATAAACATTTAAAAAAAAAATCTAGTCAGGGTTGGACTTTTCAGTCAGGGTTGGACACTTTTTGAAAATCGAAACGCATTATTGGTAAAAACGTAAAATAACATTTGTAATGTTTTTTATTCTTATTTTTTCATGTTTATCTTTACTTATTGTTTACAAATTGTAAAGCTTCATGGGTTTAAAAAAGGAATGAACTCAAATTATAAAAAATAACGCTTTATTGTTCCAAATAACTCAATGAAATGATGAACAAAATTTATACAATTTAAGTATTATTTTTCTAATATCTTTGGCACAATTTTGCACTGAAATATCAATAAAATAAAATTTATTTATAAATTGTGTCAAATTCATAATTAATATGGGTGTCCAACCCTAACTGTATAAAGTGTCCAACCCTAACTAGAAGCATCATTTTCGAATTGTGCTTACCATAACTAGACATGTGTCGCGATTCGATTTTTCACTTTTTTTCTTCTTAAATTATGTACCCCACAATACATTCAATAAGCTTATATTGCCGAATTCTTGCTTTTTTTTACACATTTTTTAGGTTTATTCACAAGTCAAACAAAACTTTTTTTGTCTCTTCGATTGCACCGAAGTCACAAGAGACGCTACTTTTGATTCTCCAAAAATGTAATGCCACAAAAAGTTAGGTTATACTACTAGAAGATTCGTCACGTACGCACACAGGTGGTGCTAGTGTTCTTATTTAAAAAAAGCCAAGTGTCCAACCCTGACAAGTGTCCAACCCTGACACTATTCCCCTATGTATTCGAATAAACGCAACAATTTTAATTTGTAAACCTGGAAAATTTTGAGAAAAGAAAATAAAATACTAAATTAAAGAAATCAATACATAAAAGGGAAAAGAGAGTAAACAAGTTAAAATTGATGCGTAAGTTAAATCGTTAAATGACGGTTATCTAAGTAAAAAAATGAAGTAAAACTAATTTTAGATCATAAATTTAGCAAAATACGCAATTTTAAATGCGTATTTTGTGCAGGTGTTCCACATAAAAAATTATGACAGTTACGAACGGTTGCAACGGTCTTAAAAAAAGGGACCAATCAATTAGCGAGGGCGGGATTGAACAACTTGAAAATAGGAATATGATTGGGAAAATTTCTTATGGAAAGGGAAAAGGAACTAAAATTAAGAGTGGAAAATTGACTATAAAAACATAATTTTATAAGGAAGGACCGCAGATTTTGGCGAGCAAATTAACGTGAATTTCGCGAAATAATAAACTCGTAAAGTTCAAATTAAAACTTAATCTATAATTAATATTTGTCAAAAGGGATTATAAATTAAGAATATTTAAGCTAAGTTTAAATAAAGCGTATTTAAACAAGACTCAATTCAATTCAATTGAATAAATTTTTAATTTTTTAATTAAAAATCAGTGTCTTATTTATTTAATAAAATAAACCTACCTAACTCAAGCAAGTGGATCCTTTTAAGGATCTAAATGATGAAAGAAACCTACGGTTGATAATTTGAAAGGAACAAAATTCAAATATTATAAAGCTAAAATTTTTGGACAAACATGGTACATTTTGAACTTCGCTTTACTTTCCGTTTGGAAGATTCGCGGTGTGTTACAAGAAAATTTTGGTGTCAGAAGTGGGATGAAAATCAGCTTGCTTGAGAAAAAACGAACAATTACTATTGTCGTAAAAAGAAGAAAATTTAAAGGACGAACATATGAAGTTGTGCATTTGGAAGAAAAATCATTCTTAGAAAAGTAGGAATAAATCAATAATCTAAAAGAGATAGAACGAGAAGGAAGCAGATAACGACTGAGTCCAGAGAGCGGGGATCCCCAAGTTTAGTGAACTGTACAAAAAAAAATCAATAAAGGAGACTCAACCGAAAGCAGCCTTTGAAAATTAAAGAGGAAATGTGGTGATCGGAGAAGAAGAGGAATTGGTGAACGGAAGTGAAAAGTGTATATATATCGTAAATAAAAAAAAAAATTTTATTTTTTGAAAAGAAAATTTTAAGTGAAAAGAGAAGTGAAAAATTAAAAAAAATAGGATTAAAATGAAAGAAAACTTCAAAGGGTAAGTCGATTAATCTCTGTAATTGTAAACTTCTTGCAATCAAAAGAAAATAAAAATCTAAATATAAGAAAATAAAAATGTTGCGAAGAGAGAATCACGGTAGCGAGTCAGTTATGGAGTATATGGGTCCTGGTTCTGGGTCATGGGAGGTTAAAGGTAATTCAACCTCAATATTAAATAATGAAATAAAATCAAATCAATCAAATTCAGTAATGACAAGAGAAAATTTTAGAACAAATTTTCTTCCCTTTAAAGCAGCTCTTGAGTTTTTACCAAAAGAGTTTGATGGTCACAATGTGTCAATAAATAAGTTTTTAAAAAATTGTCGATTTGCTGAGGACTGGGTTAATTCCAATGATCGTTATCATTTATTTCAAATGATTAGATCAAGGATAGTGGGAGATGCCGAATCCTCTTTAGAAAATCAAGAAATAAATAACTTAGAG